AGCAAAAACAGAAGTGTTTGCTAATAAATCTATGAGAAAATGTAAATATATGCTGTCAAAAATTTAGAAAACGATTATTTTGCAATGTTTATAGAATCACTCAAAACACAGTACAATGAGCCTTGGCTATGCTTCACTGGTCACCTTGTTAAACGTTTGCACTTTAACCTAGAATCTGTTAACTTTAGAAACAAAAAACAAACTTTAACATTTCGTTTTTTCTTCTATGTAAAAATACACTATTGAATTTTCAGACAGATTAACTTCTTGTTTAAATTCAGGAATGAGAAACAACACTGTAAAGTAATTGACTGATTTATTTTTAATATTTCTTTATTTATTAACAACAAAGAATATATTTAAGTGAATTAATGAGGTAGAAAAAACAGATTTTTTATCGAAAAACAGCAGCAGCAACACCAGGAATACTTTCATCAGAGTTTATTTGAATCTGCAGTAAACCATTTGTTGAAGATATTTCTTCTTTTCCATCACTATCCTTGTCACTAACAGCACTGAAAAAAAAAAGACAATAAACTATCAAAAAAGTATGAAACAGCGAAATTTAATGTTAGTGTCGTTAATAAAATAGCCAACCAATTTATTTAATAGTAGCAATAGTATGGCAGCACAATTTGGTGGTTAAAAAAGGCAATTAAAATTCAGGTTTCTGAAGTTTTTCAGGTAACATTATTCTTATATACAATTAGCATTTTTTCGCTCTTTTGTTTCCTTTTGACAATGAATTTTGTGCAAAATAAAGATTTAAGAAAGTGAAGCTACTGGAAAACTAACCTTTTCTTTTTGGTATATTCCAAGGCTTCTTTAACAGTCAAAAAAATATGATCTCTGGGAACAATAGAGTAAAACTTTAACGCTTGAAAACGCTCGGTAACATTTGCTAAAAAAAGAAAGAAAGAAACGTATTTCAAGAGAAATTATAAATTTTTTTTAAAATCGTTATTATTTTGTACAGAATTTTCCACGTTGAGCTGCAAAACCCAAGAAGAAGAATGAAAAATCTGTGAAAAAACTCAAACACACACACACAAAAAAAAAAAACAAAAGAAAAAAAAACAAAAACCAGAAATGTATTTTCTTTTCACTTTGTATTTGCAATCAACAAAAAAGACCAACAAAACATACAGTTAACGGCTGCAAACAAAACTCGTGCATTGTAATCGTCAGCGTCGTTCACTGTCTGAAAAGAAAGTAAAAGCATTAGCAATTTTCAATTTTTATGCTATTTTATTAATAAAAGTAAATTCCTTGCTCAATTTATATTATCCTCAAAATAAACATTGCATTTCGAAGATTTTTTTTGTCATTTTTTTGGTAAGAAACACCTACATAAAATTCTTTAAATTTGTTAAACACAAATGGTTAGCCTCTTTTTTTTCGAACATATAACCCCTCTTGCAACACCAGCTGACAAAAAACTTCTGGATTTTTCTTGCTTATTCTACTTAGCGATTTTGCGAACAATAATTAACAGGTTTTTAGAAAGACAACTAATTGAACTAGCACCTCACGAAGTGCTCTGACACCCATACAGTCGATAAATGGTACACATGAAAAGTCCACAATAAAAAACCGTTGTACTGATAGATCTTGTTCCTCCTACAATATTATAATACATTATTAGTTCAGATAGATTTTCCATCTGGTAGTAGAAGAAACCCTACAGATGCACGTAGTGTGTACTATTGAAAAATACAGATACTTTTTACATTTAAAAAACAACCTTATTAAGAAGATGTAAGTGCTTTTTGATCGTTTAAGTATGCCATAACTTTAATACCTAAAATTTACCTTTTTCACATCAATAGCAGCCCATTTTTTGAAGACTTTTTCTACAGACTTTTTGAAAAATTCAACATTTGTGAATATCAGTGGTGCTTCGAAGCAATAAATGAGCACTGATGAATCGTCTGATGCCTCTCTAACATAACTACTGCTGCTGTAGTTTTCCTTCTTTGGTATTGAAGTCAATTGGTGAGCTCGAGGCCTTCATAAGTTCATATTGTTATTGTTTAATAAATAAAATTAAAAGTCTGCCATATGCTTAAAATGCAAAGTACTTTTGTAATAAAATACTGTTCTAAAGCGGCGTTAAAAATATTTTTGAACAAGCAAATTGGCAAATATTTTGCGAAACCAGTGGAGAAATGATGGAACGAAAAGAGATTGTCCTTACCACTGAAACCTAAAAATGACTGTTAGCAAAGCGAAAAGAATCGACAGTGCTAAACCTTCCATAACATCAACAGCAATTGTGATGACAAATGAAAATAACCATATATACTGCAATAAAGTAAAACCTAAATTTATATATTGCTGAAAAGGTTATTCATTATTATCAATATTTAGCACAAAGTTTTTTCACTTATTACGCAAAGTTACTTATTACTTATTATTTGCTTTTATCTCCTTCTATATCACGGTTATTAATGCTGCGCATCTGTTAAAGAACAGAACTTGACGAAAATTCGCTAAATTATTAATCTAAAAATTTAAAATTGTTGGATTCTTCAGTTAGGTTTTTCAAAAAATATTAATTGAATCGACGCAAAGTTTGTCTGATTTTACTTATTTTGCCGAAATTTAAGACAAGTTTTCAGAAAACTAACAAAGTCGATTTTAGAGACCGGCCAGAGATCCTTGAGCTCGGTCACTTTCCAAAGCATTGATTTTAATGCCATAATAATAATTGCTGATAAAACGCACTAAAAAAGTAGAAGTTAAATAGTCAGACCGAAAAATGATAGTAATATAGAGATACCATTTATATATTCTTTACATATAAGTATAGAAATTAGTAAAATTTAATTTTTATTAAGCTTTGATAATCATTATTATTGATACTCCAGAAATGCAGATTAAACCATTGGTAGTGGCTGCAGAAGCGGTCCAAGCCATAAAATTGAAACCAGCAGAAGAATACAGCTAAACACTGTCGAAAGCTGGAAAACTTTTTGAAAATTACGTTATAAGAATGTAAGTGACTTAATAAGCTCCAAAAAAGAACAAAAACCACTAAAAGTTACATTACAGATAGAGGAGAAAACTAGAATTGTAAGTCACTTAAAATGCAGTTTTAGAAGTAGCTGATGGTATGAATAGCAACAGCCAACTTTTTTCACTGACATTTTCTGCTAAACAGTCCTAATTCAAGAGCAGTAGCAAAAAAACATGCTTCAAAAATGTATCAGCAAGCAGAAGATCTCGAGTACTAAGACACTGTGAGAAAAGTAAATATCAAAGTTTCATGCATAACTGCAGAAACTGTAATAATTCTTTTGACCAGCACTGTAGTCACTCATTCTTCTAGTGTTCACCACTTTGGCAAAATAATTATATTTCTCAACATAGGAAATAATCCACTCAAAGTGAGTAAAAATATCAGCAAAAATATCAAAATATCAAGTATTAATTACAATTAAGCTTAAGACTTTTACTTTGAAAAAATTGAAACAAAACGTCAGAAAACTTAAAAAATTTTCATGTGACAAAGTCGCTATTGAAACTGATATAACAATATTTGTTTATTTATTTTGGAGAATTTGAGTGTGAAACAAATAAATTCTAAACAAAGTAGCGTAACGTCCAGCCTCTACTATTAAGTTCAAGTTGAAAATGTTGGCTTAAAAGAGTTGAAAAGTTAATCATTTTTCCTCAACAAGATTTTCTGAAGCGAAAAAGAAGTTTATGCTACAGCGCAAAGTACAGTGACCAAGACGAGAAGTAAAGTTTACTAGTCTTTAAGCTTCAGATCAGAAGCAGTTGATGCACTGAAAACATTCGAAAAGTATTCTCAATAATAAGCTTACTAAAGTTTTAGCTCCACTCTCCACGTTAACCATTGTTCTTCCTAATGCTGTACCCGTCGGATATACAGGGAATAAGCCAGAAAGCACCGAAGTGAAGCCTAATGCGTAGAATTCCTGCAAAAAAATTAAGATAAAAGAAGTGGAAGCTGAAAACAGTAACCATCATCAAGGAATGTAATCTGTCTCATAAGTGAAAAACTTAAAGTTGCAAAACACTTTAGAACCTTAGCGATACAATTACAGCTTAAAAGAAACTTACTAAACCCTAGCATAAAATAATTCTGTTATATCAGCAAAAAACTTCACTTTTGCAGAATTTATTTCATATTTAAATTTATTAGCTAACACTTTAGCCATCGAAATATGCACAGCAATCGAAACAATTGCCACTCCAACAATGGGTATAAAGCAATCCGGAAGAATACGAAAGTTTGGTGGCTGAGGCATGGGCATTCTGAAATGCGCAAAAAGTTAGATAAAAAATATCGGTATCAGAAAATTATTAATATATTATGCAAAGTTTCAAAAGATTTTGAACTTGCCCACTGGGTACGTTTCCAACAATTTTGGTACCATAAAGCTGGTTAAAATTGAAAATATAAGAAAATGCCGCCCCTATTACAATCTAAAAAAAAAGTGAATGTTAACAGCTAAATTAATACTACTAAAATAATAACTTTAAAGTTTACATATTTTGCAGTAAGTTACCAAATTTAAGCATAAAAAGCACTCAAGCATTTACCAATATAATTTCATAGGGTATTGGAATCTTCAGTGGAAGGCACTTGCCAACCAAAGGATTAATATAAGTTTTTCCTACATAAAGAAGGAGCATTGAAAGAAGTGAGACGATTAGCGTAAATACGTTCGTTTGCGGTAAACGAACAATTATATTGTAAACTGTCTGTAAATTTAAGCAGTTAAATTAGAAAAAGTCTTATAAAAAAATGACAATTTTACGGTCACAGATAAATAAGATGTTTAGTAAGAGTAACTTGGAACCATATTGTAGACTACAAATACAACTGTTTTAACCAGAATAGAAGCAAAAAATAATAAATTTACTGTATCAGCCTCAGAGAAGCCTGCAAAAGTCGCCAATTACTTGTCAACAACTTACAGTAAAAAAATATGTACCCGTTACTTACACGGAATAGGTAACCAGGCCCAGTGCTTTTTGGTATTTTAATTCCTAATACTTCGTTAACTTGACCAATAATCACATGCACTGCAGAACCCGTCGTATAGCCGGCGACCAGTTGATCAGAAAAATACGTTGTAAGAAATTCTAATCGTAACAGACCAGCAACCAACTTGAACAAAATATTTATAAAGTTGATATTTATTTGCATTGAACTAAATTATCTTCTAATGATAAACTTTAAAGCACCTGAAGAATTCCTAAGGCAAATGTTAAAGTTGCTGCCACTTCAATTGGAGTTATATTGCCGCTGCCGGTCGCTCTTACAGTGGAATTATTAAGTCCATCATTATCGTCAACAGTTGGCACATATTTAGACATAACTTGGTCATTAGCAATACCAGACATTAAAGAAATAACAGCAAAAGAACCTGAAAAAAATGCAATTTTTTGTCGCATAAGTACAACCTTAAAATGAGATTTTATACAAAGAAAACCAGAAAAAAGCATCTAAAGATTCATAAATACCAAAAAAAAAGTTTTTGAGGAAAGAATAAGATAAAACCTATCGAGCAATGCCTCGAAGAACCGAAGAACATATAAAATAAGGGGGGGAAGAACGAAGAGTAAAGTCCATATACAGGATCGACTCCTGATAATCTGGCGTAGGCAATTCCTAAAATACAACTGCGATTCCTTCAACAATACTAGGATAATTACAGATGTACATATTTTTAATAATCTGCTTTGAAAAGCAGTAATTGAAGAATTTTACGGATAAATACTTGGTAGCAGCCACACAAGTAGAAGAAAGTTATGAGCTTGACAGAGTTATTAAATAAATAAAAATAACTTTTTAATTGAGCTTTTTGAATTGATAGACGCTGTTAATATTTAAAAATGTTTAGCGTACACGAATAAAGAAAATACTCCTTATATATCCATTGGCTACGACTAACCAAAGCTTATACTCTGAATACTAGTTAATGTTTTTTAAAAAAATTAGAAGGTATAAAAGATACAAAACGACCTCGGAATACGTAATGTTGTTTTAGCAACTGTTTTTTTCACTTGGTTTTGTCTTCTGCTATGCCTTATTATTGCATCTGCTATATAACACATTCTACTGATTCTGTTGTTACTGATCTGGAGTATCCTGGAACTACAAGAACGTTCGCTTTGAAAAGCCAATAAACGAAGTTTTTCAACAAAAGAGGCACAGTAATGCGCTGGTTGTCCGAAGCAAACTGTAAAAAGTCTGCTGTACATGTCCAGGTAACCAACCACTCATACGTCATCAAGTGATTTCTATTTGAGTAGGAAAGGTAAAACAGAGTGTCTTGATAAGTTTAGACTGCATAAAACAAAGTAGTTTTAAAGTCAGTAGTTCAGAAAAGGATTAAGCAAATCGATTGACGTTTCCAAAAAAGTGAAATGAAACGAATCAAAGTGATATTTTTGCTGATAAGCAAAATTTAGCTCGTTATATTTGACAGCTGAGAAGTATTCGACAGTATTGCAGCGAAATTTTCAGCTTATATATACGATTGTCGCTGTTTCAAAAGTGATGAATAAATTATTTTTCTCAAGGACTTTTAGTCAAGAAGATGTTTTTAGCACAATTATAGAGTACGAAATGTACGATCAGAAGGTTTGTTAAAATTTACTTTTGCAATGTACAATGTACAAGTGAAAGATTTTTCAACTCTCGATTATTTAAGCGTATGGTAAACCTATTAGTTGAAAATCTGTAACTAAGTTGTAGTTGGTAAAAAAGCCTCCTATGTCGGTAAACTAAGACACTAACAAAAATTTTTAAAACGATATTAAGAAACTGACTGTTGAAAAGAAGCGAATTATTCTGAAGCTGAATAAAATAATCGTTTCCACACACGAAAAATTTTTGGTGTCAGTATTTGAAAAACTGATCAATAATATCTTCAGTAAGCCGCGATTAGAAGTTAGTCTATTCGATATAACGCTGAGCAGTTCGGTATCATTACTCTATGCCAAAAAAAAACAGGAGTGGCCGAAGACTATTATTTGTAAAACTTGTTGACACCTACTATTTTTGTATTTATATATGAATGATGAAGAACTTGTACTTTTGCTCTTCAAGTGTCTTCTTCTAAAAGCTTTTAAAGAATTTGATTTGTCTGTATACTTAAGGAAGGGTGACCAAGCACACTTTATTGAAAAAAATCGTGCTGTGCGAGCAACTTTGCTAGAACCTGCAAGACTTAAGACAAATATTTAAGGCTCTATAAATCTCCTTACTTTTATGGCCGCTACTACATACAGTACATAAAGCGTATATAAACATTATTTATTTACTTATTTATTTATTTATATATGAGCTAAATATATAAATATTTAGTTCAATTTTGCTTATAAAGCATAAAAATAACAAAATTGTAAAAACCAGAACCAGCTAAAGAATTCCAAGAAAAATATATTAAAACCTTGAGGAATATGCATGATACCCGTGGTAAAACCAGCAATGACGTCGCATATGAAGTACTCTCTTATGTTGTATTGAGGTAACCATCTTAATATTGGAAAAAAACTAACTAAGGTGTTCCAAAAGTTGCTAAAACTGGTGAAGGGATCAATCAGCTTCTGTCCTGCTTTTCTAAAATACAGTGAACTGTAATAGTTGTATAACAATGAATATTTTTTAAAATTGAAATGATCACAACAAATTTTCGGAAATTAGTGGAATCGACTGTGACAAATTTTTCTGAGTAATAAACAAAACTTTTTTTTTTTTAAAGCTTGAAAGTCTATGCTTAAAAAATATATCTATAGATAAACAAAAGAATGACCAAACCTGATTTGATAGGATGGTACAAAAGTGGTATCAGTACGACAAAATTTGATGTCCGATTCTTTCTAAAATTTATTCCTTAGTCAAAAATTTAATGCAAAATCTAGTTACTCAGATCATGTTAATAAGAAGTACTAAATTTTAAGACTTAGAGATTGCTGAAAAGAGGTTAAAGAAAGCATAAATGATAAAAGGAATAACGAACTTGCTCCATAACATTTGCGGCTCTGTTACAGATGATTTAATTCTAAAAATAAACTCACTGGTAGATAGGTCGGTTGACAAGTATTTTGTAAAAGGAAAAAAAGACGTAGAAAAGAATTGTTGCCAATGCCAGTCACAGAAAATTAACACTTTATACAGCAAAGCTAAAAGCGTTAAAAGCTGACAGTTTTTTAAGTCACAAATTCAAAAAATTTTTTTTTTGAAGAGGAAAAACAGACAGGGCGTGATATTGCAAAAAAAAATTTGAAAATAAATTTCTTAGAAGAAGAAAAAAGAATTAGTTGGAATTAAACTGGAGTGGTTTTGTACTTTAGTGGTGTCAGTTTGGAAGCATTATTTAAGATAAACAGCAGTAAAGTAATCGATTGGAAAAAATATAGCTTGGAAAGCAAAGTACTCCAGAATTGGTACAAAAATTTTAGCCGTTGTGTATCAAAGAAACAGTTCACTATCTTTGCACAACAGTTAAGTTCCAAGCTTACTGCACTTACTAACTGCTTTTATAAAATGCACTTGAAAAAAGCCTAAGCTAACCAATTAGTTTTAGCAAAATTTTTTTTGTCTAACTTACTGAAAGTTTTAGCAGCGAAAAATCAAAGTAAATAACGTAGCGCTTTTGATCCACTTAGTTTGTAACCAATTAACAGTTTTTAACTCATAACATAGAAATAATAAGGCAGGAAAAAAACTGAAACATAAAACAACACCAAAAAAGTTTTGTAAAAATTGTTTCAAGTTTTAAAAATTGCTTTGATACTACGTAATCTCCGTTTTTTTTTTTTTTTTTTTTT